GGGGATCGCACCCCGCGGCGTTGCGCCCGGGCCTCACTCAGCCAGTGGGCGGGAACCAGTCTGCATGTGGGATCTGAACCCTCGGGCGGGAGCGCCGCCGCGCTTCCCAAGCGGCGCACTATCCAGTGCGCCACCGGGCCGGCCCCTTGACTTACCTTTTCACGTTTAAATGTTTTTGCTATTTGGCTTACCCGCTTATTAAGTAGTTTTCCAAACTGTGTTCTTCAAGCAGTTTCTTTTGAAGTTGGAAGTTTGAAAACTACTCTTCAAAGGAATAAACCGTGTCCCTTTGCTCGCCACTATTCAAAGAAATGTGCACACTCACTTGCAAGCAAAAATATCCTAGAAATTTCAAGTGTTTTCTGTACAAAAGCCTGGTGGACGTCAAGGAGCCCCCTTCTTACTTTTTTTCGAACGCAGGTGGTGAGTTTCATCTGCACTTGCAGATGGGTGTGGCCTTGGGCCTATTCCCTGGTCTGTGACTTGTGGGAGGGACGGCTCAGGTCAGGTCTGGGTCAGCATTTCTAGAGTGAGATTTGTCTGATTCAGTGTAGAGAAAGCTCCTCATTTCTTCTTTACATGTAGCAATGCATTTAATTTGGTATACTATTTTCCACGAAATGGAAATGATGGGCTGGCATGATGGTGTGTCAGCTGCCCATGTCACCCTCCGTGAGTCACTTGCTTTTCTGCTAATGAAGAAAGAACCTTTGTTCTGCAGTCGGGTGCTCAGAAGCAGTTCCCTGTCCCTCTTACCGCTGAGTCCACCCTTAACACTCGATCCCTTGTACCTTTGGAAGGGTCATGCCACAGCCCTTCTCCAGATCAGACCGAGCACACCCTCACCTGGCTGCCTTCCCTCCCCTAGTCAAGCTAAAATAGTCTGTTTCTGTGCTGATGCTTGGCCCAGCCTGGTCACCTGTTTCTTAAAAACTGCATCCGTCATCACTCAGGTGAAGCCTGCTCGGCCTCTTGTGACACTCGCATGGGATAAACAATGAAACTCACGGAAGGGTGCTGCTACAATTACGTCAGCATTTAAAAATCCCAACAGTTTCAGCTTCTCACTGTGTGTTTTATTTATTTATTTTTATTATTATTATTATTATTTTTGTCTTTTTTCGTGTCCGGCAACGGACTGCAACCCTCAGTGTCGCGCCCGTACCCGACCGGGACCGGCAACAGGATCGCAACCCTCGGCGCTGCGCCCGCCCCTCGCTCAGCCAGTGAGCGGGAACCGGTCTGTATGTGGGATCCGAACCCTCGGCGGGAGCGCCACCGCGCTTCCCAAGCGGCGCACTGTAGCAGTGTGCCACCGGGCCGGCCTCACTGCGTGTTTTAAAAGCACGCCATGCTCAAGTTCACAGCAGCACAATTCACAACAGGCGAGAGGTGGAAGCAGCCCACGTCCATCGACGTGTGGACGGATGGACAGACTGTGGTGTATGCACACAACGGAATCCTACCTAACCTAATGAAGGAAGGAACCCCGACACCTGCTGCCACATGCACGGACACTGTCACAAAAGGACAAACACTGCGCGACTCCACTTGTATGAGGTCCCCAGAGTCATCAAATTCACAGAGGCAGAGAGTAGAATGGGGGGTGCTGGGAGCAAGGGGACGGAGCAAAGTCTTATTCAGTGGGTACAAATATCAGCTTGGAAAGATGAAAAGTTGCACAGACGGATGCTGGTGACGTACAACAACGTGATGTAATTAATGCCACTAAACTGTACACTTAAAATGTAAATTGGGGCCGGCCCGGTGGCGCACTGGATAAGTGCGCCGCTTGGGAAGCGCGGCGGCGCTCCCACCCGAGGGTTCGGATCCCAGCAACAGACCGGTTCCCGCTCACTGGCTGAGCGAGGCGCAGGAGCAACACTGAGGGTTGCGATCCATTGCCAGACACGGAAAAAGACAAAAAAGACAAAAAAAAAAAAAAATGTAAATTGCATGTTATGTACATTTTACCATAATAAAAATAAGCAAAAATAACTAACACATGCCACGCCTAATCATTTTCACTGAACAGCGTTTACAACCCAGGAAACTGAAGGGAGGATGGTTAGGTTTGCCAGCTGGAAAGGGCACTGGAGCTTCTCCGTCTCGTTTGAAATCCTCTTCTACTTAAGAAATAGAGCTCAGTCCACTGCGTGGGTCGTAAACAGAGGTAAGAGGAGACACAGGCGAGGAAGCCAGGAGATCACACACAGCACGGCTCGAAGGTTCGAACGTTTCTGTTCCCAGGAACATAGGGAGGTGACTTCACAGATGCACGCAACCCCAGCGCTCACGCTCACACGCTCCGTGGACTGTGGCTTACAGCTTGCTCCTCGCCACGCCCACCCCGTCACGGGAACCGCCATCCAGACGGCACCACAGCCTCGAATGGCCAAGGGTGACACATCAACTGAACTGCACCTTTCTGGATGAATGGTAATTCCTCCAACAAATGCTCCGTACTCTGAAGCTCAAAAAGGTAAGAATTTGTAGTAAATAAAAAACCTTTTTGTTTGAAAATCCTTTTGGGTCAAACACCTAGAAATGCTGGATAAAATATATCGTAAGTTAAACAATGCATAGTCGAACTTTTAGGAGAGAAAAGGAAATCTCCAGTCACTTGGAACATGGAGGGGACCGAAAAAAGCTGAGGGGGCACGGGGTGGGGCTGTCGGTGTCGGGTTGTAGACACATGGACTTTGATATCTGTGTGGGACAGGGGACAGGAGCTGTGCCCTGAAGGAGAGAGTACAGAGCTGGGTCTGAGTGCTCTTCGGGCCTAGAGCTGAGTTGGGGTGTGCTAGGAAAAAACCCCTCACTAACTCAGGCGGACAAGGAACCTTCCCTGCCTCTGCCTGGCCCCTCAGCAGAAGGGGGAAAACATTCCCCTTTGAAAGTTGTGGGCTGGCACCACAGGTGGGCTTGGAATTCCAATTTAAAGAACCATGTGTACAAGGAATCCCTGAACCAAGAAATTAACAGGAATACAAATGGCTCTAGAAGGCATTTTCGTTGGCGTGCCTGGCAGGACACATCCTCAACCCCACATACAGGGAATCCCACCACCCAGCTCCTCTGAAGACGAGCTCATACCTAAAACTAAACAACACTCAAGGGGACAGTCCACCACCACGCGTGAATCGGCCACCGCAGGTGGTACACGAGCCCTTCAGGAATCTGACAAAAGACCAGCCCGAGAAAGCATCCTCAAAATGATCAGTTCCATAAAAAAAGAACCGCATCCTGAAAGAAAGAAATAGGATGCCTTGAAAGGATGCACGGACTTCCAGAACCCAGAACGTCCAGAAATAAACATCACAGGCACGGAGAAGAAACGCAGGACCCGTGGACGGGCTGGAGAGCAGGACGGCAGAGCCAAGGGGGTCGGTGGAGCCTGATGTGCACTTGGGGTTCAGGCCAAGAGAGCAGGGACAGAGAACCAAAGAGAAACAAAGGCTGAGAGTTTTACAGAGTTGAAACAAAAGGAATCATCAGAGTGAAAAATAACTGAATCATGGTAAGAATAAGTAAGTCTACTGTAGACGGATAATTGTGAAAAGACCATGAAACACTGAGAATGGGGAAGACGTTCTCCGTGAAGACACTGGGTGTGGGGACCCCAAAGGTCAGAAGGCAGCGGGGTGCTGTCCTCACAGGGCTGGGAGGAGAGAACAGAGCAACCTTTCCAGTGTTGAACATGGTGAGTAAGACGTTATCCCCAGAGCCGAGGGGGACCTCAGCCTCCAGGCGGTGGGGGGGGGGGGACAAGCACTTTCCCTACTTATGTCACTAAGCACAACTCAAAACCCAGACATTACATGTAAAAGAAACAAGACTCTGAGAGGCAGAGGGAAGGCAGG